TGCCCCTCTGACTGCTTGTGTCACCCAGCATGTGCTGTTCATCCTGGACAAGTGTCCGCCGACCGTTATCAAAGTGATATCACAGTTCTTGCAATGTTCGCTTTTGTTGCCCGGATGGAAGCTTCGTAACCGTACATGTCTGCTTCTTACTGCACGGTTTGCACGACGTTGATGCATTCCCAGTGGGAGACAAAGCCTGGCTTCCTGAAACAAAACAAATGGGAAAGCAACGCTTTGCACACGAATCGGCCGAGGCCGCGCCGTACGAAATCAGGAAGTGCTTGTGCTACGGCGAAACGCAATAGATGAAAACAACGTGCACCTTATCCTGCAAAGACTCCTGGAAAGCACAGTCCAGGTCGATGCATTCGCGATGCCCGACGCCCGAGGACACGATCGGCGAATGCCCAAATGGCACTCCGCCGATCTGCACAACCGCACACATCAACAAGCAACGCGCGCGTGCGCGTTGGCCTGGAGAGCCCTGTTCCGAAATGTGTGCGACAAGAAAAACGATCTGAAGAATGCGGAATTCGGCGTCGTCTAGCTTCCTGCATTCTTAAGGACTGCTTGGGTGCAGTAAGACACGAACAGGTGACGAAGCACTTGCAACCCGACTCAATATCATTCAACACTTTGGCAAATCAAGGGGCATAGCAGATAGTATCTCTGACCAGGTCAACTGTCCATGCAAACAGGCGCTGCTCATGGGATTCTAGAGAAAGCATATGAGAAAGCTGCATGTATGCTGCATGCATGCATGCATGCATGCGCAGTTCATGCGTCCCTGCGTTCCTGCCTGCGTGCACAAGCACGCACGTCGTGCGTGCATGTGTCTTTGCGTGTTCGTCTGCGTGTCTGTCTTCCTGTCGCTTCCTGCCTGTCTTGCTTGCTTGCTTGCTTGCTTGCTGACGGGTATGAGGGCTGTCTCTGTCTCTGTCTCCGTCCCTGTCCCTCTCCCCTGGCCCCTGTCCCCTGTCCCTCGTGCCCTGTCCCCTGTCCCCTCTCCCCTGTCCCCTGTCCCCTGGCCGGCCCCCTGTCCCCGTCCCGGTCGCTGTCATTGTCCCTTTCGGTGTCTGTGTCTGTGTCTGTCTGGGCGTGTGTGTTTGTGCGTGCGGGTGTGCTCTTGTGTGTGTGCTTGTGCGTCCTTGTGTATGTGCTTGTGTGTGTGTGTGTGTGCTTGTGTGTGTGCTTGTGCTTGTGGGTGCGCGTGTGCGCTGTGCGCTGTGCGCTGTGCGTGTGTGTCTGTGTGTGTCGGTGCACCCAGCATGTCTTGTGTATGTGCTTGTCCGTGCATGCGTGCGTGCGTGCGTGCGTGCGTGCGTGCGTGCACGCATGCGTGCGTGGGTGCGTGCGTGAGTTCGTGTGCGTGCGTGCGTGAGTGCGTGAGTGCGTGAGTGCGTGCGTGCGTGAGAGAGTGCGTGAGTGAGTGCGTGAGTGCGTGAGTGCGTGAGTGCGTGCGTGCGTGGGTGGGTGGGTGGGCAGCTGGGTGGCTGGGTGCCCATGGGTGGGTGGGTGGGTGGGTGGGTGTTCGTTTGCTCGTTTGCTTGGTTGTTTGTTTCTGTCTTTCTTTGGTTGCTTGGTTGCTTGGTTGGGTGGATGGGTGGGTGGATGGGTGGGGCGGGTGGGTGGGGTGGGTGGGTTGGTTGGGTTGGTTGGGTTGGTTGGGTTGGTTGTGTTGGTTGGGTTGGTCCGGTTGGTTAGGTCGGTTGGGTTGGTCCGGTTGGTGGGGTTGGTCGGGTTGGTCCGGTTGGTGGGATTGGTCGGGTTGGTGAAGTTTTTTTTGCCTCCTGTATTCGCCTGTATTCGCCGTGAGATCTCAGGATGCCGAAATCCTCGAGATCATCGCCACCACATGACTTCAGGAATCCACGTGCTTGGAGTAGAGGGTGGCCGCCGCCGCCGAAGCTCTGACAGTGGCCTCCTCCCAAGCATCATCGTTGGCAGACGCCACAGCGTGGCGACCTCGAGCGGAACCAAGCCTAGCCTCCATGCAGCGCCGGGCAGCATCGTCAGCGCAGGCATTCAGTAGCCGCTGAACCCCCGGGTCCAACAATGGATGAGGCGTCCATCGTGGAGTGACTTTACCATGCGAGGGAACCCACGACAAGCCTACTTTCAAACCCAAGGAAGCTGCACTGCACAAGAGCCGCTTGATGGCCTGACCTCGCAAGGGGCGCGAAGAGCACCAGCCACTCTCAATCGACTGCATCGCTGCGGAGCAGTCGGTAAGCACAGGCAACGAGCCAGTGGTGCCAGCAGCAGCAGCCGTATCCACTGCCTGCGCCAGTAGGAAGAGAGCGTGAAGTTCAGCGCAGTAGCTGGATTGATCCTCTCCGTCAAGGCCTATAGCGAATGCTTCACCCTCATGCAAGACAATTGAAGCAGCACCCAAGCAGAACTTCGCGCTGCCGTCAGTAGCGACAACGGCGGTCCTTCCAGCACTAAAGCATGCTTGCAGGGCTTCAGTAAGCTCGGAAATGAAGCCATCCGTGTCCAGGACTATTGGGGTCTTAGGGAGTTCATGGCGGGGCTTAGCAAACAGTCGCTCTTCGCAGCGATTGGTCGGCACAGCCAGGTTGAGCCGAGTTGAAGCTGTACCTCCGCAAACCCACGTCAGATGCGGCCTGCTTGGTGTGGACAAGCCACACAGGCACTCATTTTTGGTTTAAGAGGCGATGTGCGGGCAATGCGAGGCCCCGGGCTAAACTCGGGTCCTCCCGGTGGCGGTTGCGGCGCACCCTGCCACACTTGTTGAGAGCTTGCCGTCGAAATGCCAAAAGCAGCCAGTCACGAAGGATCCTAGGGGAATCCCAACCAAGCCTAAAAACCCGAAGAGCCCCGTACTCATCTCTCCGCTCAATTGTAGCGCCGTGGTGGGCGACTGTCCAGCGATGCTTGGTAAGCAATGGCTGAGCTTCCGGTAGCAGCTTGTGCCACTTATCAAATGCCTGATCCAGCGGGGCATGCTCAGTCCAGCGAGCGGGTCGCGTCTGCATGCGGATGGCGGCACGGAGCGTGCCCCACTCCACCACGAAAGTTGGCTCCGTCCACCAATCCATGAGTTCATGAAAAAGTGGCGTGGCCGAGTCATGCAGCACGCAACGGCGGAAAGACGCTCGGATGTCACCTGAGATGAATCGCAGCTGATCAGAAGTAGGCTGAGCAAAGCCTCCAGCCCACTGGAAAAGGGAGTTGCCTAAAGAGCGTATGTGACGCAGAATCTGGCTCCCGCGGTGAAGCGAAGTCGCAGATGGAACTTGTCAACCACAAACCGTAATAAGCGCTTGGGTTGTTGCAGATCAAGCGGGTGCACCAGACCCAGTGCCTCAAGCTCTTCTTTGCGCTCATAGCCCAGCTCCGTAGCTAAAGGTTGAAGATGACAATTGCCAACAACGGCCGACTTAGTGGCATCCCTACAGAACCCGAAGGCCCGATCAAATGAACCCGAGCGGGTCACTGCCTCACGCAATGCAGGAAGTGGCTCAACATTACTCCCAGCAACATGCCACAATGACCGGTCGTCCAAAAAGGTGGAGGCTTTCACCGTCCTCGAGGAGACATGTCGACTCCACACCTCCATGATTGCAGCAGCCATCAAGGGGGCAGCAGGGTCTCCCGGGACTAGGCCTCGGCCGGGCTTGATGGCCCGAGGGTGAATGGCGCCCTGTAGGGACAGCAATCGGATAGAGCTGTAGTTGAAGTGGCGAAGCAGAGCAGTGAACCTAGCAGGGGCTCCGAAGTGATCCAATACGGCGGTGGCATGATTGACGTCGATGCTGTCGAAAAAGGCTTGGAGGTCCTCTTGGATGAAAGCTTTAGACCCTCGCTGCAGTGCTTGGTGAAAACGCGCGTGGGCATCGCAGACCGAGGACCCCGGCAGACCACCAAGGTTACCGTGTGAGCTCCAGCCCTTGGTCCAACCTCGAAGCTGACGAATCATCAATCGTGAGCCTGTTCTCCAGCACACGGAGCACAATCCGATTGGTCTGTAGCCCCCTTTAGGTTTCTCAAGCAAGGCCACCCTGCAGAGATGCCATGGGGAGGGTGTGGCTCCCGAAGTATAAATGCACTGCCAAAGAACAGAGAAGCCTTGCCACCACTCCCAAGGGAGGAGCAGTATGGCTTCCGGAGTCCAGCCATCGACTCCAGCAGATTTGCCAAGCATGGCCCGCGTGGCACGCTGCAGCTCCTCAGGGCTCCAATTGAAATCAGAAGCGTGGGGAGCACCGCGGGGAATCTGATCGAGGAGCTCATGTACGGCAGAGGAGCGAGCTTCAGCTCCTGGTGGTTGTGTCCACATGTCTTGCCACTTGGTGGCTTGGTCTTGAAGGATCTCGCTTCTGACAAGAAGTGGGCCAGTTTCAACAAACAACAGGTGTAGCCAGCCTCCGAAGTTCACGATCAGCTCGTTCCTTAATCCACCGCCGTTGACGAGAGATGGAAGAGGCCATGTCTTGCTGCCACCTGTTCAGACGTGCTTGCCTGAGTGATGCAGCAGCTTTGTCAACAACTTGTTGAACGAGCTCAGCAGCGGCTGGGGCAGCGTCCCGCGTGAGGGTCACTGAAGCAAGTTCCGGAAATGCAGAGCTCAACGAAGCTAAATCCCTAAAAACCTTACCAACAAGACCCCAAACCTGTGGATGGCGGATCCAGTGACGGAGCCGTCGCAACAATCGCCGGAGCCGACGAAGCTCCAGAGGCTCAGAAACTACGGCAGCCTGGTGTTGCTGGCGGCGAGCCCTGACCTTAAGTGCAAATCTGTGCCTCGGAAGCCTCCTGTCAGAGGGGGCGCAAAGTGCAGCCTCAGCGGCTGTAGACAAGCACTGCCACAAAGATTCAACATTGTTCAACATCATCAGCTGAAGAAAGAGCCTGGCGAAACTGAACAGCGTCAAAGCGATCCATTACCTGTGCAGCCGTGAGCTCTAAGAAGTGAGCGCGTGCGCGTGGTGGCATGCCGACACTCGGCGGTTCACGTAAGTTCTGGAAGTCGTAGCCTACGGCAAGGTGGTCCCCAATGCCCTCGCTATGCAGTACCCTATCGGCATGAACATCGCGGGAGCAGATCCCAAAGTCGATTCTGTTGAGTCGAGCTGGGCTCGTGGGGGGAAGCGGGCCTGCATGTGCATCGTCAAGTCAAGGTTGCAGGCCGTGCCAGTGCTGAGCAAAGCAGCTGCAGGCTGCTCGTGAGCCGGCGCCTGAAAGTCGCCGCATACTATCCAAGGGAATCCGAGCATCAAGGCTTGTGCGCCAACCTCCTCCAACAGGTCCGAAGAGAGCTGAGGATCATTGGCAAAGCCGTAATAGGAGACGATCAGGAGCTTCTGTACAGAGCCACCCTCGATGATCTCAGTGAGGAAAGCCGCCACCCGAGCCGGATGAGAAACGGATAACTGCACAGTCCGTCCCGGCTGCCTCGATAAAATGCATGTGCGCGCCCTGGTGATGTCACCCTCGGGGAAGGCGACGTTCCATCCAAGAGGCTTCCAAAACCTGCAATAAGGATCATACGTAGCAAGATCCATATCCAATTCTTGGAGACATAGAAAATCACAACGGTTCTCTTGAAGAAAAGTGCTAGTCTCCGAAGTCTTCAAACCAGCGGATTGACCGCCGTTCATCGTCCAAATGACGAGCAAGATTAACAAGGACGGCCCGACAACATCTCCTCCGCGCGCTTCCAAATGAAGTCGGCGTCGGAGGCTGAGATGCCACTTTGCTCCGCGAGTTTTCTGCGTTCCTTCAGCAACCGAATGCGTCGCCGAGCCGTCTCAGCAGACCAGGAGGGATTCTCCGGGTCGCACTTGTGGTTCGCAATCTCCTTAGCATGCGTGGCGATGATGCCGCATCGATTGCATCGAGCAGCCCTATGGCAACTCACAACTCCGGACTTCTTGGTGACTCGGAGCCAGAGGAAGGTCGTCGCTTTATCCCCCAGCTTCGAGAATTGGCATGCAGTTGAGGCAGTCAGTAGCTGACTCCGATGGATGCCTCGCTTGAGTGAGGTCTTTGTGCTCACCCTTTTGCACATCTTGGGCCAGTTTTTCTTCGTCACATGAGGGTGAGCAGTAGCACGATGCATGGCTTTCTGTTTTTGTCGAGTCGTCGCAGATAGCTCACCCCAACTGCAGAGAGGGCATTTCCATCCGATGGCACCGATAATGGATTGAGTCGGGCCAATGAGCAGCGGAGCGGATCTCCGGCGATTGCCCCGACCCTCATGGTATTGTGCATTGTGCTTGTGCTTCCTGGGGCCCACCAAGCGCTGCGCTGAAGGGGCACTGATCACACTGAAACGTTACAATGCGGTCACGAGCAGGTAGCTTCGATTGCCGAGGGGGCTCTGCGGTGTCAAGGCATCCTTCAAGGTCTTGGTCAGTGGCAGTGGAGGAAGCAGGTTTCTTGGACCAAGCATACACGCTGCGGGAAGGAGCATCCTGACGAAGGTGGCGAACTTCCGCGGCTGAGAGGGATCCTGCACGACGTCTTTTAGCACTGGAGCCTGACGCCTCAGAAGCGGGAGGGATCTGCAGGAGCCCGTCCACAGGGACCCCATCCACAATCGTGTGCCCACCAGTCGCTGAAGATGAAGAGGCCGTCGCTCGATGATGAGCAGGTTGCTTTTCCGAAGACGCCCGAGAAGAACGAGCCCTTGTCGTGCCATTCTCGGACGCCGTGTCGATGATCATACGTGGAGTGCGGCCACCTCGAGTGGCCTGGCTGCAACTTGCTGGGCCAGAGTCAACAATCATGTATGAGGGACTGGCATGAGGGTCCGAGGTCTCCGACGCAGTATCGATTTGCATGAACCCGCCCCCGCGTCCTTCTGTTGTGTTCCCCACTAAAGCGTGGCACCAAATGTCCACCAAGGCCTCGGGAGAGCACTTCACCCACTCGTCATGGCGTCCACTGTACTTCAGAACCACAAACGGGTCGGAGTCCGCCTGGCTAGCGAACTTGAAGGTTGTCTCAGAGTCATAGTTGATGATCAGGAGGTTGGCCGGGAGCCCACGGCTCAAAGCGTAGACCTCAAGGTTTCCACACCATGAGCCAACAGCTTCCACTGCAGACAAATATTCAGTAAAGGGCATCTGACAGGGTTGATCGTTAGTGTCGCGACCATCCCAAATAAGCGGTTGTAGGTGATGCGTCTGCTCGCGCATCCAACGTGTCATAGCTCTACCTCGATGGCTGACCGGTTTGCCTCCGTGCGAGGTTAGAGCCTGAGCGACGGCTGCGGGAAGGCAGTTGCCGCCACCGTCATTGCTGATCACAGTGGCCCCGGAAGGCAGCTCAATTTTGGGCTGCTTAGGCTTCTTGGCCACCGGCGCAGTGGCAGCAGCAGGCCGTTTGTTGCCCATCATCTGATTGTCGTCGTTCGCCGCTTGCCAATCGGAGGCCTCGTCCAATGTGATTAAGTCCTCAAAGGGGTCCGGCGGGAACTCGGATGCAGACTGCGCCGGGGCAGCATTGAAAAATCCACTACCGCCCTTGCCATCATCCTTAGGCCGAGCCAAGACCTCGTCCTCGAGCTTGATGGGGACGTAGTCCTGTCGGTCAGCTCGCAGTGCAAGGAAGGACCAACGAGTGGACCGTCGCTCCCTGTAGCGAGCCTGGATTTCAATCTGTTCGAACCCCACGTCCTTCAGAACTTCTTCCAATTCTAGGACGTGCCACCCCATCGGGACCTGCCGGAGATGCCAAAGTCCTTGCTTAGCAGCGTTGCGCGGATCCCGAGGGCCAATGCGAACAGCAAGCTTCTTGCCATCGTGGAAAAGCCCCATGTCGCCCGTAGAAGCCACAACACGACGCAAGTACTGGACACTGGTTTCATCAGCCCACTGAGTCTCCCACAGTAAAGCCGGCTGATTCAAAGTCAAGTCGGACCGTCGAAGCGGCTGGCAGAAGAAAGTGGTGCCACCCAAGATGCGGCCGCCTGCAGCAAGGAGCGATCTGGCCGCCGTGGGCGATAGCCGAAGCAAGCCCTTCACGACCCCGCATGTTGTCCCCGACCTTCTCCCAAGCCCAAGAATCGAGAGGCTCGGCGGGAGACCCGCCAGTGCGGGCGATCCAATCACGAATGGCAGCGCCCGGCCGGTGCACTATCTTCTTGCCCGAATCACAACGGAGTCCTCGTAGACCGTGCGCCGCTTGGGCGCTTTCGCCTCAATGAAGTCCACCTCCACATCCAAGAGGAGCTCTCCAACCTCAGGCTGGCCCTTAGTCCAAGCCACCACCCAGCAACGCCTAATTTTCATGCCGCCACGAAGAACACCTGGAAGGCTCATGTGCTCAACGGGATAATCACGTCTCAGTGCGTCGCGCTCAGGGCAAGCCTGGCTATCGAACACCAGAGGCAGCCACCACGCATGAGCTCCCCAAACTCCTCCAGCAACTTGTCGGTGTCGGCATAAGCCAGCACCGGGTCGCCCTTGTCCAATTCACGCTCAAGGTCCGTGGCCTGGGTAATGACCGTGGTGAAGTTGAGGTCGCCCGCCCGCAGTTTCCACTTGACTTCCTGCCAGCCGTCGTTGCGCCACCGACGGGCCCGGGTCGTCGGCTCTGGACCCTTGCCCTTGCCCTTGTCGCCCAGACGAGGGTCGCCCTTGCCGTGAACAGGCCCCCGAGAGCAGTATCCACCTGTGGTCGATTGCCGAGCATCTCCGCCCATCTCCGCCCGTGGGGTCGCGGGGAGCTGGAGGGTCCGCCGGTGACCTCCATGGAGGAGCCACGGAAGTGTCGCCATCCTTGCCGGCCTTGCCCTTGCCCTGCGCCTTGCCTTTGCCATCTTTGCCTGGCGCCTTGCCTTTGCCATCTTTGCCTTTGCTCTTGCCGGCTCCGGGATCAACCGCTCGAGTCGGCATGTAATCAGCATCCGGAACAGGTGTGCCCGGAGGTCGAGGCAGTCCAGCTCCTTGAGCAAAGAACGGAGAAGCGAGCTCCATCACCATGCTTTTGACCAAGCGGCGAACATCGGCTTTGGTCAATCCAACCCTGCTAGGTCTATGGCTTCGGGGCCCGGGATGTGAGGCCTCGCCCACACGCACTCCAAGCCAAGCATCATGACGAAAGTCTGCCAGCAAGGCTGACAATGCAGCACGACCATTCCAACCTGCAGCAACC